TTACTGCACCTCTTTTACTGAGATAGTAGTGTACTGCTCAGTAGTTAGAAAAGAAATGGCCTGAAAGAATAAGTAGTCTGATGGGTTTAGCAAATTATGGATGAGTTTTGTGCTCATGTGCCATATCAGTTATACATTTCCTACTGATTGGTCAGACACTGGCTCGCTCCTTAGTTATGCTGTAGAAGCACATAAACACTCAAGATCATAACTGTTAATTGAGAATTGCATTTTTATTTTTAAATAAAATTTTCTCATATAATTACTATAATTCTCTAGCTTCCCTGGTTTTTGAGTCAGACTTTCCTTTAGGGGAAACAAAAAAACAGCAGCTTTAAAACATGTCCTATGACTCCCTCAACTCTTGTGGATAATCGGTGACATGTTGGGCTCATGTGATGACTAACTGGATTTTAAAACCCAGGAGGACAATGAGCGCATTTACAAACAAACAGTTAGCCTCACAGTTAATGCAAATTTTCCTATCTGAAGTAGCATGAGTTTTGTTATTTTGTCCAAATATTTTCCCCCTCAAGCAAAAGCATGTAAAATGCAGCTTTTTATTTAGTCCACATGGGATCACCCACAAGTCTGGAATATATTTTTGTAGATAGTAAAAGAGTCTACATGGGTTTTCTTCCTGTCACATTGCATCAAGCTCTAACCACATTGCCATTAATGCCAAAGCCAAGCAATCAGTAGCTTTTATCTTCAACCCTGGTGACATCACATTCCTCAAAGGACCCCTAAATCCTTTCTGATCCATGTCTTTGGTGCTGATGAGCCTTTTGTTGTGTGAATTCTCTTGTTACTACATGTTTATGTCCTGTCAACTTTATAAAGCTACTCAGTATAAACAAGTGTGTTCAAAATGCACTGAACTAAACCAGGTTAAATGTCAACATACAGAAATACAGTCATCACTGTATCCTTTCCTTTTGACTGCCGGGCTGAATAGGCTGTGTAATTGCAGCTGCACTGGAACAAATGTACCGTGATCCAGCTGCTCACTAAGCTGTGGGTCAGGAGACTCGCACCATGTGATTCCAGTACAAAAAGGCATGGCTGTGTGGACTGTATTGTATCTGTCATGACTGACAGAAATATGGCTTTTACTAAATTGTGAAACTTGCAGAAGTATGTATTCTTAGAGAGATTAAAGACAGAAAAACATGCATATACAACCAGAGAAATGCATGGTGTCATGCAGTGGTCAAATTTTTATTTCATTGCATCAGCACAGCTAATGAAAAAAGAGGATGTGAATGTCCTGCAATTATAATTCCTATCCCGCACAGCCATCTCTTGTTTCAAATAATCATTCCTCCAAAATTCTGCAGGTTGGAGTGACCGTTGTTTATTGTTCTGAGGCTTAAGTCCTGTTAATTTGCTTGGTGTGACACAATCTGATCCTACAATATCTACAGTAATTCTTTAAGGGTTTTGTTATTAACTGCTCAAAGGCAACTCTTAATAAGGCAGCTGGTTCCTGACTGGATTTTGGTTTTAATTGCTGTGGTTAATGAGTTTAAGGAAGCTGAAAAAGCTGCGTCATTCTGCCCAAACCCTTCTGGAAGTGTGCTTTGTTGTTCAGCCATAATTAACAGCGTTCCATGTTTGTATTTTCTATCGGAGCAGGACCAGAACAGGGAAGTTCTGGGGATGTTTGGCTTCTCTCGCTCAGTATTTCTGACCCATCAGCCATCAACCATCAACCTCCCTTGTCCTTTCACTAAGAGTTACAGTCTGGCTGAAACTGTTCACTTAAACCATAAAAGGAATAATTATCAAACCATTTCATAGAAGGAAGGTTTTAAATGGAGATCTACCACATCTCAGCTTGTGACTCACCTAATGCCTAATGTAAATGAAATATCTCCATATCCTTTAACTATTTTAACTGAATTATTACATTATACTATAATATAATTATAGTATAATGTAATTCCAAAGTTATCTAAATTGGTCTGGTTTGACTTTTCCCTACCCAAACAAAAACCTAAATGCTGTTTTTGTTTAATTTTATTGAGCCTACAGTTTATATTGCTGGATATCTGAGTCTTAGACTAAATGTGATTTTTAAAACTTGAACATCCTTTTACAGTCTACTGGGAGGTGATTTATCATAAAAGATCACTGTAGTTTTTAAATGCAAATTCTCTCATTACAAATACATGTTACTAAATATACAAATCAAGATTAAGAGAATACTGAATAGCTGGTTTGCTAAGTTTTCTTTTCCTCTACAAAAACAGGGTGGGTTGAAATAGAGATTAACTGCAATTAGCATTGACTGACCTTGCCCCCAGCTGAAGACCAGCCATGTCTTAACAAGGCGCCCTCCAAAGGAATGCCTGCATCCAATTCTCTCAATTATGTAAATCAGGTTGAAATCAAAGTAGTTGGTGGGGTTGAATATTTTCAGTTTTAAAGTTGGGGAGCCTATGAACGAGACTGCGGTGCTTTTAGGTTGGCCGCTTGGCTTCATCTTGTCATACAAATTATGATCTTCCACACTATGAAGAAAGGAGTTTTAACAAATTGGGAGATTAGGGCCCAGTTATCAAAGTGGATTTATTGTGCCTTGTTCAGGCGAAGGATGAAAATACCCTATGGGCAAGGAGAAAGGGTCATGGGACTCCCAAAAGGATTACCTTGAACTGGAGTCATGGGACTTGGGTGAACAAAGACCCTGCTCACATGCTCATCATATTAATCGGCCCTCATAAAGTGAAGAAGCCTGGGATTCGAGGAGAGCGCTTAACTGGGAGTGCAGCACCAGGAGAATGCTCTGGTAGAGGAGCAGCACACTGCAGACTTCCCCTCTGCTCTCTAGACTTACTCTACTACAGCAGTAGACATAGGACACTACAGCTCGGACAGAAGAGCGTGCGTAAGTGCTTCTTCGTTCTATAACTGCAGCTTTTAAAACATATTTCAATCAATTCTAGAATTAATTAGATATTACTGAGTGGCTTGAGATGCAGTAAGAATTATTGACCCTGGACAGTGAATTCAGATGTGGTGAATCTGGACAGGGCAGCTGGGTGCATAACACTGAGATGGAAATTTGACAGACAAAAACAGACAATAACAACCACACAGTGCCAGTGGATGTCTAGAAAATAAAACAGGATGGTAACATTTCTGCAAAAAACTAATAGTAATTTACTACACAGCTAAACTGTCTTCATGTAAACAAATAATTTAGCATTAAAAAAATAAAATAGCAAAAATGCAACAAAATGGTTTTAAAACTGGAATTAGTTGTATCTACTGATTTAGCAAAACATTATTTAATGGTTTTATCTACCAAGTCATAATCAGGGGACTGTTTTAAATTAAGAGGAATGGACCTGAATATGTAATGAGTCTGGTGGGAAATCAGGTCATCGCACTAGCAAACGGTGCAGAAAATAAAAGTGAATTAATTAGACATGTATGAAGGGAAAGACAAAAACTGTGAATCAAAGAAGAGAAAGGAACAGCAGCACAGCAACCAATTAAACTATGAGTGTGTTAAAAAAAAAGTTGTTTGCAAACTGTATGTATCGCATTAAGAGTTACAGTATATTGCACATAAAGATTTATTCATTGTGTGTTTTTACATATGCTTTAAGCTATTAATACAGTTAAATATATATATTTCAGTTAAACCTCTGAGTGATTTCTTGGAAATGTGCTCTAGTCATAATTGGGCCTCCACTGTCAGTAATGGCCCTCAAAGAAACGTTCCTTTATTCAGGTTATTTTTGCTCGGCGCTGGAAAAAGATCAGACATTGATGTGATGCTTTTCAGTGGCTGCTTGTCAGATTCAAGCAGGATAAAATGTGTTTAATTCCACCGAGTTGTTAGTCACCATGAACTGTACTACAGTAACTTCAAGAAGAACAGAACATTCTCAACCTTATCGAGATCATATTATATTCTTGTACACTTTGTAGAAACTAAATAGATATAATTTTTTTAGCCAGGATTTTGATAGTGAAAGTTAAAGTATGATCTAATTTTGGTATGACAGCATGTAATAATGCATTATTTTGTACAGGCACAGAAAGTTTGGATTGAAAGGACCTTCCTTAAAAGAGAATGTATCCATATTCTTCCAAGCAAGGACCCAACCAGGTAATTACAGTCTTCAAATTACCCTTTAAATAGTTATTATTTGTGATAGATATGTTGCCTTAGGCTGGAACAATATGTCATGATGATTTATTATGGTAGAAAACAGAGCATGACTCCAAATAACTTTCTTTTGGGTCAAATATAGCCAAGTGTTGTTGCTCTTTTTATTGCTTCACCACAGTTAGTTTTCATTTTATTCAAATTTCCTAGGCAAATAAAATGCAAATATTATATGTCTATAAAATGGTTTGTTTATTAAAACCTAGCAAGCACACCGGTGTAAACTTGCATTAATTGTCAATGCGGTCCTTGTTGACAGAATGTGTAACTCATGACAGTGTCAGTTATGTCATTAAAATATGAATAATGCTCTATATTTGCAAGGAGTAATGCAGCCTATGGCCGTAGGTTAAAAAGCATTTATAAGGATTAACACAGATACAATGTATTGTAGGACAGCACACTGAGAATAGGCTGAGAGTAGCCAGGCAGTTGCAGCTCTTTGTTTGCTGGGGCACATACACTGTGTCTGAGAAATGGGCACAGTCATGAAAGAACCTGTGTGATGTGTATTTCAGGGAAAAGACACAGCTTTCACGTGCAGAAAAAACAACCATCTTTGGTTTGTTCATTCACTTTTAGTTATGGATTGTCCCCTCGACAGCACAGGGTAGCATATTACTATCAGGTGCAAGGCCAGGCAGCCACATAGGACCCAATGCTGACTTGCTAACTGAATGCTTCTTGTTCTGTGATCTGTCTAGATGTGCCTGTGGTCAGCTGACAACGCAACACGTGGCCATCCCTCCTGGTGCCACCTCGGCAGAGGAAACAAACCAACTGGTGCAGATTGACACCACAAAAGATAAATGGACTGTGATCAAGCACACCAGGACTTACCCAACAGACGCCTTTGGCATAATCGAGTTCCAGGGTGGAGGATTCATCAACAAGGCCATGGTGGGTCTCAAGATTATGTCTGTGTTAACACAGTTAACAACAGCATGTGTGAGTGGATGTGATGAATGTCTCACATTTGACCTTCTGTTTAAAAATGCAGAACAAAGTGACTGTGCAGTCTGATTACAAATAAATAACAATACTGTACTTTTCTCTTCTTCTCTGTACTAGTATATCCGGGTTTCCTATGACACTAAGCCTGACAGCCTGCTGCATTTGATGGTGAAGGACTGGCAGCTGGAGCTCCCAACACTGCTCATTTCTGTACACGGTGGCCTCCAGAACTTCGACCTCCAGCCCAAACTCAAGCAGGTGTTTGGCAAAGGCTTGATCAAAGCTGCTGTCACCACTGGGGCTTGGATCTTCACGGGTGGAGTCAATACGGGTAGGAAGCTGACAGTTAATGCTTTTAATGCTCACTGCACAAATAACAGTTTGTGGCATTAGAAGATTACCTTTGCTCTAAACTGCCATTATATAACACTGATTCTCCAATTTCCTGGGGAAGATTTAACCAACCCATTGTCACAGGTTTAACCACTATAATTAGAGCTTTTGTGGGGAAATTCATCACAAATGACTCTGTGTGGAGCTTTGCGTGCAATAACCACAGCATGTCCCATGATGCAGGCCCATTAGGCAGCTGAAAGAATCATTATTCACGTAGCTGTATTTTGTTTATTGCAACCTAGGGGTGATCCGTCATGTCGGAGATGCCTTAAAGGACCATTCCTCCAAGTCACGAGGAAAGGTGTGCGCAATAGGAATTGCTCCATGGGGGATCCTGGAAAACAAAGAGGACCTAATCGGAAAAGATGTGAGGACACTTGCATATGCATTTAGTTTTGTGAAAAAAGACCCTTTCATACTAATAATTCCTTCTTGAAATATTTCAAACTAATTTCTTCTTTTCCCAGGTAACCAGACCCTATCAGACAATGGCAAACCCACTGAGCAAACTGGCTGTGCTCAACTACAGCCACTCCCACTTCATCCTGACCGACAATGGCACCAGTGGGAAATATGGTTCTGAGGTCAAATTCCGTCGACTACTGGAGAAGCACATCTCCTTGCAGAAGATCAACACTCGTAAGTCTCACAGCGCTCCACAGACACCATAAAACATACGCCTTCCATGGTGTGTTAGCGCAAACCACAGTCTTTGTGGACATGTAGCTGGAGAGCTCCTCTGTGACCTGTGGGATTCCCTTTGTCATCCTATGCCTGGAGCTCAAATGAGGCAAGGACAGCAAAGGGGTGCTCAATTGTCACCTCTGACTTCACTCCTTCCCTCCTTCGGTTTTGGCTGTTCACACATCACATCACATGTTGTTCCCCAGCCTTTCATTCTCAAAGTTCTGTTAATGTAAGGTGCTGATAAATGGATGGATGGGTGTTGTGGAATAACAATTTATGCTTTGTTTTCCAGGTTTGGGTCAGGGGGTCCCTCTGGTGTGTCTGATAGTGGAGGGAGGTCCCAATGTTATTTCCATTGCCCTGGAGAGTCTGAGAGATGAGCCTCCCGTCCCTGTGGTGGTGTGTGATGGTAGTGGCCGTGCTTCTGACATCATTTCCTTTGCACATAAGTTCTCGGAAGATGGAGGGTGAGATTTTAGACGATTTCTCCTGTGCTGTGTTCTGTTGTTATTCCTCTATTAAAAAGCTAAAAAAAACAAAAAACAAAAAACTTTAAATCTCTTCTTCCAGCCTGGTTAACGATGACGTCCGAGACCAACTTTTGGTGACTATTCAGAAAACTTTCAATTATAGCAAAAGCCAGTCACAGCAGATCCTGCTCATGATAATGGAGTGCATGAAGAAAAGGGAACTGGTGAGTAGAAAAGTAAAATCCTCATAAAAGTGACAATTAAGGTGTTAATATGTCAAAGCACAATACATGTCCACATCAATCAATAAATACTTTATGATTTGTGAAGCATCTGGTCTCCATTGTCATTCATCCATTCATGTCATCTGTGTGTTTCCATTAACATATTGAATAAATATAATCCTCACGACCTGCCTGTCATTTCTCATTGTTGTGGTCATGTGGTATGTCCCATAATCGGATGCATTTAGAGCTTCACTGTAGGCCGCCATCAACCCTCATGTATAAGTACACAGCTGTAAAGTGTTGAAAGGTGTCTGATTCTGCCATGTCACAATCTTAACTAAGATCAGTGCTCTACAATGAAGCACACACACTGGTATGAGTCTTCACAGACAATAAATTTATCCCACAGCTGCAAGCGTTTCTCCAAAGGGTTTGCTGGAGACCTTGGTATATAAATAGCACCTGCATTTGTGATGCTCCTGCAGATTTCTGCAGGCATAAGTGATGTGATTAGTAGTGTGTAATACCCAGCGCATATAATCTCCAGACTCTATACATTTGGGTGGGAATGATCAGCATACCCTACCGCCTGCTTACTTCATCCACACAGCAAGCATGAAGCACACAGATGGAGGAGAGGATCCATCTGTCTAATCCTCAGCCAGGTTCCTCTCTGTCTCCACTCCCTTGGCTTTTTTCAGTCCCCAGAGTGCTATCGCTTCACCAGCGACTCTGTGTCCTCTATCCCTGATGTATTACACTGTGTAATACTCCAACACATTCAGATAAGCAATTTAACCAGCTTTTTCAAAGCTCACATTGCTGTGGGCTTTTTTCTGCACTGTTTAGTTTTCACTGATACCTGATGGAACTGCCAAGTTGTTTTGACAATTTACACACAAATAAGAGGCCGCACTATCGCTTTTAATCAAAAGTGCCATGACTAATTTACAGGTAAATCTGTGTCGCTCTCTAGTCCCCACATAATCCTTTCATCCTAAGTGCATCCCATATGAACATCTGGCTTAGACAAATAAAAACACTGATTTAGAGAGCTGAAATTTACAGTGATGTAACACCAAAATATAGCATTGTACCATTATAAAAGTATCCCTATTTGTTAAATAAATAAATATTACATGAAACAGCTGTCAGAAGGAATAATACAAGTTTTCAGTCCTCATTCTGATCCGGGTTACTCATCAATAACACATCTTGAGACCAGATCTGAAATCCCTGGTGCCAGGTATGCATGCTAACCTAATCTCATTTACCATGGCCACACATGTGACATGCCTGTCACCATAATGTCGTTTGATTTAATCAGGCCTATAACAAGGCAATTACTGTCACTCTGGAAATTAGCCGTTTGTGTCCAAAGGGTCAGCCACAGAGTGCCGCTGTGAGAGATCCCTCCATCAGTTGACATCACATGTTTACAGCTACAGTCAGAGTGGGAATATGTACATACCCGGCACAATTTCACTCATTTATTCATTAGTTTGTAAATGACTGTCTACCTTGGGTTTGCAACTGTTTCTTCTCTTTTTCTTTTCACATGTAGATCACAGTTTTTCGAATGGGCTCAGAAGGACAACAAGATATTGAAATGGCCATTCTTACTGCATTGTTAAAAGGTATCATCTGTCTGCATTACAAAAGTTACCTTACACAGACACAGAGTGTATTATTTCTACTATATACATACTACTCTCTGTATCTTTTTTTTTTTATCTATTAGGCACAAATGCCTCAGCGTCAGACCAGCTCAGTTTGGCTCTGGCCTGGAACAGAGTGGATATTGCTCGCAATCACATCTTTGTTTATGGACATAATTTACTAGTGAGTGCTGCTTAAATCTGAAATGAGTGCAATACAGCTGCAAAGTTACCAGGAATGTATTTGGGACTGAAGTAAAAGGATATGGTTTTGAAAATAAAACCAATTTAAAGCAGAATTATTTCAAGAACAGTGTGTTCTCCACCTGGGAAGGACAAAAAAGATCTTGTGTTTCTCAGATACGTTAAATTCCAATGCGTTAACATAATTACGTAATAATAGGGAAAAGAAAATGCTCAGGATTATTCAAATAGGAGCTGCAACTATGTTTCCCTCTTATTCTTTTGGTCAGCCTGCCGGTGCAGCCACCAGCACTGCACCATCTGCAGCCTCGGCCCAGGAGAAGCAAAGAAGTCCTGTCAGCGCTCCCCGCAGCAAGACTCGTGGAAGGAAGGGGAAGGGGAAGGCAAAACTCGAACCTCCAGAGGAAACAGACCCAAGGAAGCTGGAGTTGATTCGTTGGGTAAGAGCAAATTGTAATTATACGTTTAACTTACGACGGAGGATTGAGAAAATCGAATGAAGGCCATATGGTGTAAGTAATAATTTTCCTGTCTCATACACTGCCTTTGCTTAGGTGAACTCTCTAGAGCAGGCTATGATGGACGCTCTGGTGCTGGACAGAGTGGACTTTGTCAAACTGCTCCTTGAGAATGGGGTCAATATCCATCACTTCCTCACCATTCCCAGACTGGAGGAGTTATACAACACGGTGGGTCTGACACATTGCAGGAAATAAAAATGAAATTCTGAAAGGCCTTAAAATACAGATATATACACTCTTCCCTCTTCTCATCTCCGCTATGCTCTTCTCTCAGAAACTTGGCCCTGCTAATACACTGCATGCTGTCGTTAGAGATGTCAAAAAGGTAAAACAATCTTTCCTGCAGTATTAAACATCTTTGCAACAAAATGTTTAACATGTTCAAACTTTTTCACATCACAGCATTTTGAGATTCTTGATATACTATGTATCACTGGTGGTTCTGCAGGGGAACCTTCCTCCGGATTATCAGATCACCTTGATTGATATTGGTCTGGTGCTGGAGTACCTCATGGGGGGAGCATACAGGAGTAATTACACCAGGAAGGCTTTCCGTAACCTCTACAATAATTTGTATGGACTAAAAAGGGTACGCATGGGTGGAAGAAAATGAATGACAATGGCATGTTCATTTTATTAAGTAATCATTTTATATTAATTGTCATGGGTATTTTTTATCTTCTTGCAGCCAAAAGCTCTGAAGCTTCTAGGAATGGAGGTGGGGGATCCTTTTCATACTTTCAGTTGGCTGAAACAATCAAACCTGTACAGCACCATCACTAACATAAACATTTTCACCTTGCTAGGATGATGAACCAAGGCCAAAAGGCAAGAAGAAGGCAAAAAAGAAGAAAGAAGAAGAAGTGGAGATTGATGTGGATGATCCCGAGGTCTGTCGATTCAAGTACCCCTTCCATGAGCTGATGCTGTGGGCAGTACTGATGAAGCGCCAGAAGATGGCGCTGTTCCTCTGGCAGCGTGGAGAAGAAGCTATGGCGAAGGCCCTGGTGGCCTGTAAGCTGTATAAAGCTATGGCCCATGAGTGCTCTGAGAGTGAACTGGTGGAAGACATCTCCCAGGACCTGGAGAACAACTCCAAGTTAGTACCTATAACATCTCTGGACTAGATTTCAGACATAAGGTGCTATCTTCTCAAAACAAAAGCACACAGGTGTATGCCACTCTCATTTTAGCATTTTTACATATGTTTTCTGTGCACTACTCTAAACAGCTTAGGCTCACTTTATAATATATATTATGCAATGTTAACTTCAAATTATCTTTTGTTTTTTTTATAATTCTGCATTTATGTTTTTGTCTGTTGTTGCTCCTCTGTGATCTCAAACACATTTGCTGAGGATTGTTATAATTCTCTCTGGTTCACAGAGAATTTGGCCAGTTGGCCTACGAGCTGTTGGACCAGTCCTACAAGCATGATGAACAAGTGGCCATGAAGCTATTAACGTATGAGTTGGTTAACTGGAGTAACTCCACCTGTCTGAAGCTGGCTGTGGCTGCTAAGCAACGTGACTTTATCGCTCACACCTGCAGTCAGATGCTGCTCACCGACATGTGGATGGGTCGTTTAAGGATCGGAAAGAACCCTGGACTCAAGGTTGATATGAAAAACTGTTTCCTTTTAAGTAATCATAGCAACGGCAACAATAGTGGCATTAATTCAGTGCAATTAAACAAATAATTCATTGTCTTATAAAAACGACCTTTTTCTCACCTAGGTTATTCTGGGAATTATCTGTCCTCCTCTGATTCTACTGTTGGATTTCCGTCTTGGAGATGACACCTCCTATCGTGCACCTGAAAGCAAAGAGGAGGGAAGAGACAAGGATGATGACACAAAATCTGGCAAGGTTCTAGTACACACTGACCTTGTCAGATTCATTTGCTTTCACATGCTCTTAATGTTAATTTGTCAAATTGAAAAGATAAACTGAGATTTTGCTGTTATGCTGTAGGAACCTAATACAGATGCAACATCTCGAAAAGGGGATGAAGAGGAGGGCAGCACTAATGTCCACAAAGTCCCTATTGGCAAAAAGTTCTTTGAGTTTTATGATGCACCTTTTACCAAATTCTGGTTCAACACCGTAAGTTCTTCCCCTGTTGTGAATGAAAACGAGCATTTCTGAAATATGTAGTATAACTTATAATAACATGAGTTTATGACTTTCTTCTTCCCACAGATTTCCTATCTGGGCTATTTGATGTTGTATAACTACATAATCCTGGTGAAAATGGAGCGATGGCCATCTATACAAGAGTGGACAGTCATTGCATACATCCTCACACTTGGCACTGAAAAAGTCAGACAGGTAAAAACCTCAAAATTTTATCGGTTTTATTCAGTTTGAGTCTTTATACGTAGGTATTAAAGATATGTTGTGGTCTCTGCATGACCTTTAATCCCTGGTATTTAGATTCTGATGTCAGAGCCGGGGAAGCTGAAACAGAAGATAAGTGTCTGGCTGGAGGAATACTGGAACATCACAGACATGTTTGCCATTTCCGCCTTCCTCCTTGGGCTCCTGCTACGGCTGCAGCATGAGCCTTATATGGCTTATGGCAGAGTCATCTACTGTATAGACATCATCTTCTGGTATATTCGTGTCTTGGACATCTTTGGAGTCAACAAATACCTGGGACCCTATGTGATGATGATAGGAAAGATGGTAATGAAGTTTAGTGTTTCACTCTCAGTTAAACAAATCAGGGGACAATGACAATGAAACAATGAAAATGTTTGTTTCTTATCTTACAGATGATTGACATGATGTATTTTGTAGTGATCATGCTGGTGGTCCTCATGAGCTTTGGGGTGGCTCGGCAAGCCATCCTTCACCCTGATGAGGAGCCAACCTGGCGTCTGGCTAGAAACATTTTCTACATGCCCTACTTGATGATCTATGGAGAGGTTTTTGTAGACTCGATAGACCGTAAGACTAGAATTCATAGTAAGATTCTGTTTCCTGATTCTGGGCAGATGATCAGTGTTACATTAATATCTCTGTCTTAAATTTCATGATGTTTAGTAAAAATACATTACACTCTAACCCCTCAATACTTTGTCTCCCTCTGCTGGTACATGATACAAAGCAAACAATTTGCATTCAGATAAAGCAGAATAGGAATCTTCATCTCCTTGCCCTAAAATCAAAATCATCTGCCTTCAAGTTTTTTTGTTTGTTTGTTTGTTTGTTTGTTTTTGGTATTGTTTTTGTCTGTCCATGTTTCTTCTCTCAGGGAGAATTAAGCAGCTAGTTAAAAAAAATCTCAATTAGCAGAGCTATTAAACCTTAAAACACTTGTTTTCTGATGAAGCTGCTAATACAGCTGTTTGTTTTAGCATCCTGTATACAGAGATTTAAAGCTGCATTCTCCTAGTCTTTAAAATAAATGCTCAGCATTTTTGGTCTTGCTGTAAACTGACTTTAAAATCAGATTTACCACAGAAATTAAGTAAAATTATTTAATAAATGTAGCATAGTCTTATTGTTAAATTACTGTCATTTTGATGGCACCAGTTCACTCCTTCATGGACACCGTGACAGAAGTGTATGGATGAATGTTGACTCTTTCTCCATGTTTGTGTGTGACTTTGCTTTTCTTGGATTTCTAAGTCTATGCAATGGAAATCAACCGTAAGTAGTTTTCAAGTCAAGAATGCCAATTTCAATCAATTAGCTTGAGCTTTCTTTAATAAATTCTATAAGTCTATCTATTTCTCCCCACAGCTCCATGTGGTGAACATTTATATGATGAGGATGGGAAAAAGCTTCCTCCATGCATCCCTGGTGCCTGGCTCACACCGGCTATTATGGCCTGTTATCTTCTTGTGGCAAACATTCTTCTGGTCAACTTGCTCATTGCAGTCTTCAAGTAAATGCATGTTCCAGTGTTTGACTGTTTTATTATTTACCTGAAACATCTACAGTACTGTGACAGTTTGTACTCACCGGTCTGTGTGTCCCATCCACCAGCAACACCTTCTTTGAAGTTAAGTCCATTTCCAACCAGGTGTGGAAATTCCAGAGATATCAGCTGATCATGACTTTCCATGACCGTCCCATCCTGCCTCCACCTCTCATCATCTTCAGCCACCTCTACATCCTTTTCAGCAGGCTGTTTCGGCAGTGTGCCAAGAAGAAGCAGGAGGGAGAGCTTGATGAGAAGGACCGAGGCCTCAGTTAATCTTCACAGTTGATGCAAAATATATACACATGGTTTAACTAACATACAGTGCCTTGCGAAAGTATTCGGCCCCCTTGAACTTTGCGACCTTTTGCCACATTTCAGGCTTCAAACATAAAAATATAAAACTGTAATTTTTTGTGAAGAATCAACAACAAGTGGGACACAATCATGAAGTGGAACGAAATTTATTGGATATTTCAAACTTTTTTAACAAATAAAAAACTGAAAAATTGGGCCATGCAAAATTATTCAGCCCCCTTAAGTTAATACTTTGTAGCACCACCTTTTGCTGCGATTACAGCTGTAAGTCGCTTGGGGTATGTCTCTATCAGTTTTGCACATCAAGAGACTTAAATTTTGCCCATTCCTCCTTGCAAAACAGCTCGAGCTCAGTGAGGTTGGATAGAGAGCGTTTGTGAACAGCAGTTTTCAGTTCTGTCCACAGATTCTCGATTGGATTCAGGTCTGGACTTTGACTTGGCCATTCTAACACCTGGATATGTTTATTTGTGAACCATTCCAATGTAGATTTTGCTTTATGTTTTGGATCAGTGTCTTGTTGGAAGACAAATCTCCGTCCCAGTCTCAGGTCTTTTGCAGACTCCATCAGGTTGCCTTCCAGAATGGTCCTGTATTTGGCTCCATCCATCTTCCCATCAAGTTTAACCATCTTCCCTGTCCCTGCTAAAGAAAAGCAGGCCCAAACCATGATGCTGCCACCACCATGTTTGACAGTGGGGATGGAGTGTTCAGGGTGATGAGCTGTGTTGCTTTTACGCCAAACATAACGTTTTGCATTGTTGCCAAAAAGTTCGATTTTGGTTTCATCTGACCAGAGCACCTTCTTCCACATGTTTGGTGTGTCTCCCAGGTGGCTTGTGGCAAACTTTAAACGACACTTTTTATGGATATCTTTAAGAAATGGCTTTCTTCTTGCCACTCTTCCATAAAGGCCAGATTTGTGCAGTATACGACTGATTTTTTATATCTTTATGTTTGAAGCCTGAAATGTGGCAAAAGGTCGCAAAGTTCAAGGGGGCCGAATACTTTCGCAAGGCACTGTATTAAAATATGGATTATTACACAATATTTTAAAACCTTTGTGTATAAGGCACCCAAAGTGATTAAACGTAATCTTATCACGGGTCTGACATACACTTCCAGAACAGTTTTGGTCCTGATTTACAGCTAAAGAAACATACAGACTGACATGTTGTTGTGATTTGTTTCTGCCAGAGCTTAGGCTCAATCCAGAGGAGCTAAAAAATCTGTACGAGTTTGAGGAACAGTGTGTGGAGGAACACTTCCGTGAGAAAGAGGACGAGCAGCGGTCCTCCAGCGACGAACGCATCAAGGTTACCTCAGAAAGGTGAACCCCCTTTTCAGGTGTAGTTTTGACATTTCTTAGCATGTTGATTCACACTTATATAAATGTTCTCTCTCTTTTGAATCCTTGGCAGAGTGGAGAATATGTCCATGCGTCTGGAGGAGGTAAATGAGAGAGAGAATACAATGAAGGCCTCCTTGCAAACAGTGGATCTGCGCCTGGCCCAACTGGAAGAGATCCATGGGCGAATGGCTGTCGCCTTGGAAAAACTTGCAGGGGTGGACAGATTAGAACTAACAAGAACCTATTCACGAAACTCCTCTATGTGTGACCCTTCCTCCCTCCTTCGCCAGGGCAGTATTAACAGCGCTGATGGTTACAGCCTTTACCGCTTCCACATGGACATGGAGGAGTTTGCATCAAAGCAGAAAGACACAGATGAAACAGCAAAAACTGGTGTAGAAAGACAGAGGAGTTTGCGGCAGACCTCCAGTACTCTCAACACAAAGGAAGGTGGTCAGAACTTAGAAGTTGCTGGTTTGGCAAGACTGCGACCCAGTTCATGTGTAGACATTCTCATATCGCCATGTGAAAAGCTTGTTTCTGAAGCATCAAGTCAAGAGACCATAAACAACATAAAACAGGGCAGCACGGTGCTGCCAGACATGAACAGACTAAAGCCTATAACCCCTCCAAAAAGGACAAAATCCTTGACATACTATCCCGTTGAAGACCAACCCATGTCTCCTCTGATAAAGAGGAGGTCTATGAGCACCATTATTATCAGTCCTCCTGATGAACCAGAGGAAGCAGCTGAAACCACAGAAAAGACCCAACTGAACCCCCTTTTCTCCAAAGAGGGCTAAATCCTTTAAACATGCCCCTACTGAAACCCAAAGTCAGACTTCAGCTGCCGCAAAAAAGAGAACTATGAGCAGCAGCATTTACAGCCCAGCCAAGGCAGGTGATGATATGCTGCAAAATGCAGACCATGGGTCAGTGATGAATGCAAAGAGAAACTTCTCAGACACTAGTGAGTATCTGACTGTAACTGATGAAAAGAATTTTCCATCTCACAGCTCACAGAGCTGGAATACCAGTGAGAGGAAAGCAAATTGCTCGATGGTCAGCAAGGAGCAGAGAACCTCTAGCAGTGAGAAAGACATTGTTGAAGCCTGCAAGATGTTAGCTGTCAGAAGGGAAGATGAGGGACAGAAGATGGAGACAGAGAAAAGAGATGACGATGCACAGGAAAAGAAATAAGAGCCACAAAGAGAGGAGGTTGATGAAAGCAGCAACAGAGGTCAACAAAATAAAATGAGGAATAAATATGAGGAAGAGGAAGTGAATGCTACCAGTTAAACTATGAAATGTAAGTTTATGAAACTGTTTTCCCAATAATGATTTAAAAAAAATACAGAATGACAGTAATGAAAAATATTTCCAAACTCTTCAATATTTGCAGTTAATAGTAGTCATCACTACAGAGTAGTGAAAACCAACATAAATCTCGCTGTTAAACATTCACTTTCTTTACTGTCTTTACTTTTCATTAGTGTAACATACATGG